GACTCATTCGTTTATTAGAGTTTCTAAATAATTTATATCCTTTGAGGATATGAGCGTCATAATCTTCAAATTAGTTACAATGCATAGATAAGATCTTCATTATAATCATAAAGTCAATTACAATGCATAGTTAAGATCTCCTTTAAATTTGAAAATAGTGGTCATTTCGCGACCCGACCCTTAGTTATGTGGTCGTTTATGTAGTTTACCCTTTAAAGTTGATAAATAATTTAAACTTTCAATAAATATGATAACGAACACTTGAATTTTAAAAATAAATTTTTATGCCGCTTATATGGACAATTTTATCAAAAATTACCTAAAAAAACAAAAAATAAACATCACAATAAGACCCTTTTTCGAATATGTACTAAACTAGTACTCATTATGACAGGGGAGGGCGGAGGCATGTTTCAAGAAACGAGCCTTTGCTTAGGTGGACCAAAGGCGTGTCCCCTGGAGTGCGCTTTCCAGGGGAAATGCTGACATGGCAATGCGTGGCATGCACGTTTCATAGGGAGAGCCTTTCAAATATAAAAAAAACACATGTTTTTAGGGTTACAGTTTGAATGAGCGATTTAGTTTTTTTAGGGTAAGTGGTTTACGGTTAGGGTTAAATTAGAAAAAAATTAAATTTGAAATTAAAACAAACCGTAAACTTTAAATTATAAACATATAATCGTGGACGTTAATTTTTTTTTATAAAATCATTAATAATATTTATATGATAAAATAATAAATTAAAGTACATAAATAAAAATGAAGAAAAAAAGTACATGAAAATAAAATAACATAAATTAAAAAATTAGAAAATACAATTATATAAGTAGTGGTCAACTGTCAAGTGATGATAAAAGGGATGAACATTTTTTCCTATTATGGCCTAGGTTTCTACAATGCCCGCATCTTTTGTTTTCTTTTGACGTCTCTCGAATATCCATATCACAATGAATTCGTGTGGATTTCGGACGACTTGACTCCCTTAATAAGAACGAATCTGGTATAATTGCAAGCCAAGTATGAATCTCATTTGGGTATTTTCATTACCTATAGGGAAACTCAAATTCATATACCTTGAATACTTGTGAAAGTTGGTATATGAGATCAACATAACTTTTATAGTTCAAATGGGAATGTGAGCAAGTTGCTATGACATGTGAACTTCGATACTTCAGAGTTTGAAAAAAAACTCACAATCACATTACCTTTCTTGAAGATTAACTCTGAAAGAGATATATTTAATCCCTTAAAGAGATCGTGACATTTCTGTGACACTAAATAATTCATGGGTATGAGAAAAATTTGTTACCAACATTCCATTCAATGCTGCAACTTTTTTCTGTAAATATGCTACTAATCTTGGGTGATAAAAATGGTCGTTTTGCATCCAAGTAAGAGCTTGTCTCCCGAGTTTGGTAAAAAGCTTAACCAATTGAAAAATATGTTGTTTTAACCAAAGCAATTACTGGTAAATGGCGTGCCTCCTTTAAGGTTGAATTGATAGCATCAGCTAAGTTGGTTGTCATATTTCCATATCGATATCCACCATCATATACATTTGTCCACATTTCTTTGTTGACGGCTCTGATGTAATTGTATCATTCCTCATTTTTTCCTTGCAACTCTTGAAGAATAAACTCAAACCTTTAAGGTAAGAGTTCACAACCTGAGCCATATGTACTAGTTAGTGTGATTGATAAATAGATAAGATGAAAATGACTGAGAAATGAAATTGGAAAAAATAACATACCCATGTGTATAATTAATTGGTGTTCATCATTCTTCTTATATTTTCCATGATAGTTTACAGCAATATGTCAGATACAAAGACAATGTTGGACATGTGGGGGTTTCCACATTAGACCTAAAAATTCCATTGATGTTTTGGTTCCAGCTCAGTGGTCTAAAATAATGCAAATACTTTCCCTAGTAATAACATGTAACCATAGATTTTTCAGAAAAGCCCAAGACTATATATATTCTCCTTCAACAAAGGCAAAAGCCGCGGGAAAAAGGTTGTGATTACCATCTTGGACAACAACCAATAATAAAACTTGCTTTTATTTTCCATACAAGAATGTTCCATCAATTTAGACCACGTGTTTACAGTATTTCACAACATTAATGCACTATGGTAAGTCCAAAAACACAGTAAATTTGGCATCGACCTTGAAGCACTCGATCATTTTCGTATACATGGTGAGTTTCAAACTCAATTATCATCCCAAGATTAAGTTTTTCCATCACTTTAAACCAACTAAGTAGCTCGTTGTAAGATGAATCTCACTCGCCGTGTAGCTTTAAAATGGCATTTTGTTTTATCTTTCATGCTTTTTTATAGGATACAATATACCCATATTGAGATTGTATAGCATAAATGAGCACTGCAATATCTATGTGAGAGTTTACTTTGACCATGGGCATAATAACTTGGCAAATAATGTTAAAGTCCAAGTTTGGATGATCCTGGTTGATCCCTCTTGCACAACATGTATGAGGATTGTTGTATCTTGTTAGTTTTGATAATTTGTTCTTCCTCTTCTTGTTTGATACATAAACCATGTAGTTGCATCCGTCATCACGTTGGACACAGTGGCAAACATGTTTTTCAATAGTGGATCGGTTGACTCTAGAGTGAACTGAATTACGAATATTGTAATTCTTAATTGAAATCATTGCTTCGTCTTTAGATAGTAACTTCATTCCAATATATAACTCACCATCATCGACTAATGAGTTAAACCCATAGCCCTTAACATTAGGCATATCTAGAATTTCTAACACATACATTGTCTCATAGTCATCTTCATATATGTGTGTTGGAGGTTCGATTTGTATCGTATTTATAGGAACTTCATTTGCATCATCATCGGAGTCCATGTTTAATTATGGTGATTTGGGTTCAACGAATAATCCAATCACAACATCATCATCAATTTTATGCATACTATCAAGATTTCTAGGTGTTTTAAAAATATATTGTGTAAAACTAAAATGACGAAGTACATGGTCAATCGGATGCCAATAAAAAATAGCATATCAAATAAAAGACACAACCGACACCCATACGTCCAATTGTCCACTCAACTCAGGTGGGATGTTAGCCCTTATTTCATCGTTCAAATAGGGCAACCATTGGAACTAAAACAAAAACATATATTTCTTATCAAAATTAAACTAAGATCTTAATTATATAAAGATAATTAAACAAAAAAAATTAATATTTAAAAGTGTACCTCTAAACCAACTTTTTGATAAATAAATAATCTGATATCTTGTAATTCACCAGGGATATATTTTTTATGACCACCCATTTTATATAAAAATATATTTTATTCTATAATAAAAAAATTTAATTAAAAATAAATTCAGTATTGAAATTACCTTAATAATAACATAAAGACAAATGACCCATTCACGATCGTACGTAAAAAAGGCATGCAATACCATGCCCAAGATTGGAAAAGAAGGAGACAGTTGCCAAGAGCAGTTTTAATATAATTCATTGCCCAACACATTTCTCTAAATAAAAATCCCAAAATTACAGAGTCTAACATAACGTTTCGGCTACTTCAAAATTGATGAGATGCTGCAACCACATACAATGAACCTAGTTGTGAGCTTTGCCGGGCATCAATGTCCCTCTAATGATTCGTAATATGCATGTTCGGGCAAATGCTTTTGCCTCATCCTTGGAACAATTTTTGTTCAAATCTTTAAAATAAATTGCATGCACTATAACGTTATTCGACCACCGTTGAAATTCGTTAGGAAAACTCCAAGATACTCTATGTACAAAAAAAGCCAATTATCATCTGTCACACCAAAAATAACATTTCTATCTACTGAGAGCCCCAACTGTATTGAAAAATCCTATAGGATAATGGTGCACTCCCCACATAGCAAATGGAACGTCTGTGTCTTTGACCTCCGCCTCTCGATTATTGTAGAAATGAGGGTAGGTTCAAGTTTACAACCTCCAACAATTTTGGCTATGTAACCATCCAGCCTTAGATAAATACCGCCAGATACGACACGATGTGTTCATCTTGTTGTTACGAATAAAAACTTCTAATATACGATCAATTTCTTAATAAATAAACTCTAAGAATTAAAATTTGAAGTAAACTTTAAAAATTATTCAAATAAATAAATTGTTCAAAAAATTAAAAATAACATAGTTTCATATTCTTACCAAATGACTTAGAATATGATTAGCATTCAATCGCAACATCCCGCATTCCTTTTTATAATTGTAGATAATAACACCAAAAAATTATTTTTACAATTAATTAATAAAATAATAAGAAATTATTTACTAAAAAAAATAATAAGTACAAAAGAAACTATACCTTAAGAATAAAATAATAAGAAAGATGAGAAATATGATTTTAAGTGTGATTTATTAAGAGGTGGGGAGGGGTTTATATAGGGGAGGGGTGGAAACGACGAGAAGGAGTGGGAAAGCTTGACAGGAAGGGGAGAGGCGTGTCCTGTACAACGCGCCTTCCACGTGACGCAAAAACCCAGCTAAGGCGCATTTCCTTTGAAGCGCCTTCCACCTTGATAGACTAATCGACAACAAGTGTGTCCCTATAACGAGCTTTTTTGCCTCATCAACAAGGTGTGTTTCTTAAAATGTGCCTCCCCTATTTTATAAAGATGGGTACTATTTTGTTACATATTCGAAAGAGATATTACTATAGTGATTTTTTAATTCTCGGGTGATTTTATGATAAAATTGCCCCTTATATGAACAAATTTATTTTTAATACATTATCTAAACAATTTTACATAAGTGATGAGAATTTGTTATAAAATAATAATTTGTTGATACTTGTTTTCTTACGTTCTTATCTTCTTTTGCACATGTCCATGTTACGTTCTTATCTTCTTTTGCACATGTCCATGTCTATGCTAATGTAACAATCATACACGAACTTCAAGGCATTATCCACCCGCAACCAAGACGAATACGGAACCCAATTATATATATAAATTGTTTTCAACTCTGTAACAACTTCGATTCATCTTTTTTCAGAACCTTTTCCTTTCTTTTTTCGGGAAAAATGGGTGATTCCTCGTCCGACAAACTGATCGTTGTCACCCGTGAGCCTGATGGGGTCGGTATCGTTACCATCAATCGACCGAAATCTCTTAACTCGTTGACGAGACCCATGATGGTGGACCTGGCCAAGGCCTTCAAGGAACTCGGGAAGGACAAATCGGTTCGGGTCATCATCTTGACCGGAGCAGGACGGGCTTTCTGTTCGGGAGTGGATTTGACTGCTGCACAGCAAGTTTTCAAGGGCGACGTTAAGGACCCGGAGGTGGATCCGGTTATCCAAATGGAGCAGTGCCCGAAACCCATCATCGGAGCTATCAACGGGTTCGCCATTACCGCGGGATTCGAGATAGCCCTCGCTTGTGATATCCTTATCGCCGCTAAAGGAGCCGCTTTCATCGATACTCATGCCAGGTTCATTTTCTACTTTGCCATGTTTGAATAAAGAAATCCAAGGCTTCATTGTATTTATGTGTTTTGTTTGTAGATTTGGGATATTTCCTTCATGGGGTTTATCTCAGAAGCTTGCACGGTTCATAGGGCCGAACAAGGCGCGGGAAGTGTCGTTGACGGCCACGCCTCTGTCGGCGGAGGAGGCTGAAAAATTGGGGTTGGTCAATCATGTTGTTGAGCCGAATGAAGTGTTGAAGAAAGCTCGACAGCTTGCGGGAGCTATAATGAAGAACAGTCAAGACATGGTTCTCAGGTATAAGTCTGTGATCAATGATGGGTACAAGTTGGATCTTCTTCAAGGTCTGGCAATGGAGAAGGTATTCCTTACTGTTATCTTTTCTTTGGATTAGCATTGGTTTTGTTTATATAGAAAGAAATCGAAAAAATTCGAATTAGTCTTCGGTTTATTAATGATATGTGGTTATCTGCTGCAAAGTTCCATATAACCTGTTGTTTGTCTACCTTAAAACCTGGTAATGCAGAGCATGGATTTACTGCTTAAGTATCTCAGTTCTTTCTCCCCGCCTAGTATAGCTTTTTTTAGTAGGAATAGATTAGAATATCCATTGAGACCTTAGAGAAAGCACAATTCGAAGGATCGCTATTCGTTTCTATCCTTGGAGATCGTAAACGATCCTTTGTTGTAGGCTTTGTCCTTTGGTTGCATAGGACACTTTTGGTAGAGTAGATATCAGGGAATTTCCAATCACCTTGTTGCCTAGTGAACTGAAGAGCTATTCCTAAGAGTACCAACATGGCAACATGGGACAGTATTGGCCAACCGTGCCGAATTATAAAAACGCTTATTCCGGGAACATAAGTTCCCTTAACCCAAGTAGTACTTAGGATTAGGTATGCAAATTGAATTGCATCCTAGCCTTGCTCTTTTGGCTGATTTATGCTGCACGGTCCAGTCTTACCTAAAACTAGCTGGTTAATTACGCCCAATACACTTTCGGAAGAAGAAAATGTCTGCACCGGTTCTGGACACTGAACATAACAGGCTGAATGAGCTGAAGTTTCTCTGCATAAGATTTGAACTTTGTAGTCCAATGGTTGATTATAAGTTCTGGCTATGAAGCACGGGGACAGCAAAGGAACCCATTTCAAGTACCCAATACGCCCCCGGCACGGGGACGTTCGATGCTTACCTGGGGCACGTTTCGGGGAATATCACGGCCCGCAAACGGCGGCAAGAGAAACTTCGACTCTCCGTTACTATCATAGGACTGTCGCCGGCGACCTTTCTTACCTCAAAATAGCAAAACGGCGTTGCCGCTGCAAGGAGTGGATGAAAGACAACTAGGTTTTGTGAAGAGAAAAAATAGAAATAGAAGGAAGAAGAAAGAGGAACCGGCCAAGTGGGAGAAAGAAGAGTTAGAATAGGATTGGCAAAACTTTCGAGATAATATTATGGAAAAAATTAATTCACGAGATAATGCACTCCCTAGATTAATTGCTCAAATAAGGTGAAATCCACAGTGTTGGCCGTAGGTCGCCATACCTTCCCATGTCCCAACACGCTGGGCATCTGAGGCCATCTGACCGAGATATGCGAGAGCATCCGAGGCCATCCGACCGAGGCCAGTCGAGCGAGCTATGCGAGAGCAGTCGAGCGAGCTATGCGACCTACTTCGAGGGCAGCCGAACGAGCTATTCGAGGGCATCTGAGCGAGCGAGCAAGGGTAGGTCGTCCGGAGAGCATGGCGACCTACAAGGTCGTCCGGAGAGCATGGCGACCTACAAGGTCGCCCGGAGGGCATGACGACCTATGTGTTGGGACGTGCATGTGCCATACAACACGTTCATTCTCTCTGTTTGAGCAAGGGTAGGTCGCCCGGAGTGCATGGCGACCTACAAGGTCGCCCGGAAGACATGGCGACCTACGACCAACACTATAAATTTCATCCTATTTGAGCAATTAATCTTGGGAGTGCATTAGCTCGTGAATTAATTTCTTCCAGAACATTATCTCGAAAGTTTTGCCAATAGGATTTAAAGAATTTTGGTATAATTGTCGGTTGATCACTGAGCTGCTTTCTAGGGTTTTCGAATTTGAAAACAATTTTTGCAGTATTTTCAAATTGACTACCACGATTAATTCAAGGATTTGGAAAATTTCTTCTCAAATGTTAGAATTTTTAATTAGGGTTAAATTAGGTGCTACACCAATTTCCTACGAAGTATTAACTTTATTTATGATTTTTTTCATCTATTTATAATTTTAAATTTTTTACGTCATATTCTAGTTGCCTCTGTACCTGTAATTTTAGAATTTGTCGTTTTTCGTCCCGGTTCTCGTCCCCATATCTATATCAGTGCAACATAGAGTTCAGGTGGACAAGAGATCTGTTCTGCATGCACACATCTAACTCACTGATATCTGAAGGTCGTGCTTAAGAATCGATAATTTGAACTTTCAGATGGATCAGGAAATCATATCGAAATCACCAACCCACATCAATGGGGAATCCAGAAGTTTATGTGTAGTTGTGGAACAGATGGAGCTAATCTTCTTCATCTAAAGTTCTTGGTTTTTTTTCCTGTTTGCAGGAGAGGGGTCATAAATACTACGACGGAATGACGCCGGAGCAGTTTAAGAAGATGCAAGAATTCATAGCCGGGAGGAAGAAACCATCTTCCAAGATGTAATTGAATCTCGATGGATGTTCAATCTTGATGTTTAGTCACTGTTTTATAATGAAGAAGAAGAAGCAAAAATATTGGGAAATAAATTTGTCGGTTACTGGACTCTTAACAATTAGATAAGAATCAGTTGTGTAATGAGGTTTATGGTTTTTAACATAATAAATCCATGTGTCAAATAACCAATCAAATATGCAATAATAAATTAACATTGTCCCAGGTCAAGATTGTCTTTTGAATTTCTTTAGAAGGTTTTTGATATCATCTCTAAAATATAAGTGGTTTAAACACCTTTTAATAATTTTAAATGCTTTAGAATCCTCATATTTCATATGATTGCTAATTTAGCCCTTAAATTAATGTTTGATTATTGATCGACTGTTTGATTATTTGGTTTAATTCCAATTTGACTTTTTTTTAAGTTTCGATCAATCAATGTGACATATTCAATCTGATTTTGGACTAAATCGAGTTGATTGTGTTTCATTTTTTAGATAAAAGCTTATGTTTAATTGATTAAGAAATAAATCGAATTTCTTATTTTGTTCTAAGTTATTATTGCATGCTACTTAAGTGGCGTTTGGTTCGCTGGAATGTTTATGAGAGAATTGGAATCTGTGAAAGAATTAGAATCTGTACGAATTGGAATCCAATTTCATATTCTGTTTGGTTCGCAGAATTTGATTTCAGTAATGTAAAATGATAGAATTGCCCTTCTTGTTTTTTTTGTTTTATTTTAGTTTATTTTATAACTTACATGTAGTAATATATTATAAAAAATTAAAAAATATTAAATTTTCATTTTATTGATTAATTATTCATTTCAATAAATTATAAAAATCATGCTAATAAACATTATAAGTTAAAATCATCGCAATCAAAATATGTTAATAAGTTACCAAAAGATAGAGCAATATTTCGATACATTCCAATCGGAGTATGCTAATTAGTTACCAAAAAATATACTAAAAACTATTTTTATTCAATATATGAATTAGAAACTCGACCAGACACGACTCAAAATAATAAAAAAATGTATTTTTATTCAATAAAAACATTGACTTAATTGAAAAAAATTATATATAGAGGGGTATTATTGTAATTATTCCTAAATATATAAGGTAAAATTATATATTTTTTTTGGGTCGGTCCGGTTTTTTTCACCCTAAACCCGAATATCACACTTAAAAAATCCGACCCGAACAAAATAAAGTTTCATCCGACCCGACCCGATCCGAAATAATAAAAATTTATTTTTATTTAATAAAAACAGTGACTTAATCCGACCTGACCTGAATTATATATATTTTCGGGTCGGTCCGGTTTTTTTACCCTAAACCCGAACCCGATCCGACCCGAATATCACACTTAAAAAAACCCGACCCGAATATCACACTTAAAAAACCCGACCCGACCCGAACAAAATAAAGTTTCATCCGACCCAACCCGAATATATGAATTAGAAATCCGACCTGACCCGACCCGAAATAATAAAAAAATATTTTTATGTAATAAAAACAATGACTTAATTTGACCCGACCCAAATTATATATATTTTCAGGTCGGTCCGGTTTTTTTAACCCTAAACCCGAACCCGACCCGACCCAACCCGAATATATAAATTAGAAACCTGACCCGAAATAATAAAAAAATATTTTTATTCAATATATGAATAAGTTACCAAAGGATTGATGAGAGTAGTATGGTCAAATTTCAATTCCCTCCAACAAGGGAATTGAATTCCATCCATTTTTGGATGAAATTCACTTTCCCTCATTTGATGGAATTGAATTCCATCAGAGATTCCAATTCCCTTGAAAAACTTAAATCAAACATGGGAAAGTGGTGGAATTGGATTCCAATTCCCACCGATTCCAAGGGATTCCATCCAACCAAACACCACCTTAGGAACTTAATTTGAGTTATTCAATATTGATTTATTATTGATGTAATCAAATTTCCTAGTCTTACACCCTATCTATTAGTGATTTCTCACAAAATGAAGAGGAACATGCCACTTATGTTGAACCAAACACTAGTCTTACACCCTTGATCTTCAAAATCCCAAATGAACAACCAATGTCTAGACTGGGTATACCTTTTATGTCTATAAGATCCATTGGAGTCATGATTACACCTCAATCTTTCATTGATCGAGATCTTCAAAGATTGATTTATTGAATTGATAACATTGAAGCCACCCAAGACTTACTAGAGAAAACTATAGGCGAAAGAGTGTAGGAAGATTCTATAATCGTGTTACTATTGCAGTTTTATGGATCATATTCTTTTGTATTTTATAAGAACTTCCTAAAGAGAACCTTTGTAATTTCATAATGAATATGAAAACAATCGGGATGAAATCATGTCAAATCATCAAGAATAAAATATTAAATACAAAAACGTACATGAATTAATCGATAGGTTAAAATCCTTGAATATTTCTTTGGTTGTGATCTTCCAAGAAGATAGGTTTGCTCTTCCTGTAAAGACTCTCTGATTGGATATGAGTAATACAAGTTAACCTATTTCTTGGAGACCATTACCTCTTTATATAGATTGAATATTAGGTCAATCTTTTAAGTATTTATAATTTCTCCCCTCATCAAATTATAAATGCAACATATAATATCTAAACTTTAATTCAATGACATTTTAATACATATAACATATGTAACACAATTGGTAACTTAATTTTGTGTCATACTTTATGATAGCATTATATATTATACATATTTACCCACAATTATAGATTTTAATCCAACAATATCCCACTAGGGTAACATATGTTTATTGACAAATGTATAACCTCATGAGCTCAAAAATTTGCTATCATATAATAGATATTCTAGAACAATCTCATCCATCACTATAATCAATATAGGATCAAAGCAGTCTTCATTGTATCAATCATGACTAGACCCATAAATGATCACATATACAAACACAATCAAATGTAGATCAATCATGGAGTATATCATAGAAACTACATGCAATGTGAACTAAACATGTTCATTTCTAACTGGTCCTCTTTAAAAATTAGTGAGATCAAACTTTATCAAAAACCAGAATGTGAAAAATCAAAACCAACTTTATTTCTGCAAAATATAACCTTAAATTATCCTTAAACTAAAATAATTGAAATTATGTTTATAAAACAATGAACATTTTAAAAGTTACAAAATCCCACTAATATTGAGTATTCTTAAATGATATTACATGTTCATGAGTAGTGTGCTTGACAAGTGTTGTAATTGTCAAATAAATAAAGCCTTAATCTCAAAATAAAAATAAAGCGTAGTAAAGAGAAGAAGGGTTGATCCACAGGGACTAAGGAATTTCCAATGTTGGTTTGAATTGATTTTGATCCAAGAAAATTAAAACAAGAAAATAAAAGGGGTTTAGTAAATAAATTGAACAAATTGAATAAAGTAAAAATAATAAAAACAAGATAAGTACATGATTGGAAATTATTATGATAAGAGATAGCCTCCATCTTTGTTTCGCCTCAATTCGTCTTGATCAGTTAAATAGATTTTACTTCGGATACTTTCCAGTTACAATCTACAAGACCCAACCTTTGTAACTTACTTTTCTCTCTGGTGAATTGATATTCCAAAGTCAATCCTTTTAATTTTGCCGTTGTTTGGATTAACCAAGGTTATCGAAGTTAACCCTAATGATATCTTTAGTGATGGAAAAGTTTGTTCTTGGATTATGGTGTCTCGATGAGAATTGAATTGATTTGCCTTAGCAGACTACCGCTAAGTTTGTTCTACGTGAGTTGAATTTGGTACAAGCCAACTCTTCTCCTCAACGGTAGATCAAAATGTTAATCAAACCAACACACGCTCTTTGGATTGAAAGTGTTGAGTCCTTAAAGGAAAAGTCAATCCTAGATTGTCGAAAATCAAGAAAGAAATCTAAAGGTGTGAAGTGCTTTTTCAATTCTCAAGAAACGACTAAATGGAAGTTTAGATAAGCATGATAGAAATCATACTTAGCATATAAAAGAAAGAAAGAAAATAAAGAATATGAAGAATAAAAACGATCTTTATAAAAATCCCAAAGCTAATTAAAGCCAAAAGCATTATCTATTTTTCAATCTTCACCCTAAGGGTATTTATAGCTTGAGATATCCTAGAGAAAATAAAATTCCTAAAGATAATTCTAAAAACATTCAAATACTTAAATTCTAAATAATAGCAAACTAGAATCCTAAATAATTAAATAATAAATCCCAAATATTTAAATTCAATTACAATTCTTATATCCTAAAGAACTTTCGTCCAACCGACTTTCTCCTTGATTTCGTTGACTGGATCGTCTTTTAGAAGCTGACACCAACTAGACTGCAGGTTCTGCCATGTCGACATTGTTATGCCCATGTTACCAACCTTGATTATAGAAAATAAAAAAAAATCTACAAAATTTGCCCTTTAAATGTTGTTTTTTTTCGAAAATAGAGTCATACACATAATTGAACATAAACAACCCAAATTACCAATAAACAACCCAAATTACCAATATCAAAGAGATAACACAGAGTAATTAGAAACAAAATATTAACAAAATAAACACTCACCAGTGCTCATTAAAGACCTAGGGTGATGGTTCTTTAGTAAGTGTGCAACAATGAGTTTGTACCAATATGCTCTATAAATATATAAGCACCCAGAATTTCCTTAACAATAAAAAAGTTAATGTCTTCGTTATTAGACTTTAAGGTGTTCCTTTATAAATATAATAAAGGACTATAAATTTGTTGTCGAAAATTAACTTAAGTGGTCTTTTTATTCAATCTATAATTAACAGTTTAAATTACAAAATTTTACATTCATATTCCAATATGTCAGTGCTCGTAAACCCGATGATCTCTTAATTAATATACCTCTGATATGTGAGCATGTAATATTTTATTCTTAAATGTATAATATGAATCAATTTGGTTGTTATCAAATGACTCATACCCAAATTGCTTAAATATCCATTTTATATCCTAAAATCATATGTTATGTTT